TATCGGTATTTGATATAGTTATATAGTTGTCCTTAGCTTCAGGCACGAATTGGTTCAGAATGGTAAATGCGTCTTTCGTTAACCAAATTATAGTTTTTGGTACTCCAATTTCTTTCGTAACCAAATATTAGGACCTTTAACCGTTCACATCGGTTAACGTAATATTCAATTTGGGTTAATTCGGTAGGCCGATGGTATTATTAAAAAAATTATTATTATTAGGTAATAAAAATACAATTTATAAACACATAATATATTTTCTTGAACAAATACTCTAAATTATCTTTGTAAAAGATAAAAATCCAATAGTCTTAATTCATCCAAGTATAAAATCAAAAAACATAATTTTAAAGTTGCATACAAATGTGAAAAATACACAATAATATAGTAAATAATGTTACCCTAAAAAAATGCAGCAAAGAGGCCTAGTAATCTTCAATCTAAATCTGATTAGGATATATTAGTATTTAAATAATAAAATAATTATTGTATTTTCAAGTCCACCACTAATAAGTTGATATGTGTATATTAATATTTAAATAATAAAATAATTATAAATATCGGATTGGTATAGGTTTTTGTCGAGTTAGGATAAATAGCTCAATGTTAGTGTTGATAGATTTGCATAAAGTTATTCTCTTTGTAAACCTTGTATATCAACATTGACACCGAGCTATTGCATTTGTATTGCCTTTGTAGAGTGATTTATGAATTCAATCTCCCATTCCTTTCCGCAAAAAGAAAGATAAAGAGTTTTTTTTGGCTTCAAAAATTAAAAAAATTTATCATGAACGCATTATCAGGATAAATAGCGGGAGACCACTTTCTTTCTTGTATAGTTTGGGTCCCACTCCCACATTCTTATATATGTATTACACGCACGCGGCAATGGCATGCCCTCCCCCACCCAACAGAAGAATTTCTGCACTCCTCCGCTCTCTACCCGACTTTGTTCAGAGTGTCATATCAAAGTCGTGATTTGTCTTTGTCTTCTTCACACACAGACTTGCTTCAAACTTTAAACTTTACATGTCAACCTTTATACATCCATATGCAAACCGAAAAAGAAAAGTTGAATCAGAATAGTTAGGGGCATTATTACTCGAAATTTGTCTAATAATTTGGTTAGTTTTATGTAGCTGATCTTAAAATCTAATTACAATTAATTCTACATAATTAGAAAATAATAATAACAACAACAACAACATATACGTATTATTTGTTGACAAACAATAAGTAAGATACATATATTTACATAGTTGAGATTTAGAAAAACCAAAACACACCCTCACGCTACCATAAAGTCTGTAGTCTCGCATTTACTGAGTCCATACAATTCAGAAATACTCCAATAAAATACAGAAACCTATACTATTGGACCAAAGTATACTACATGTATATATGTATATACATTTACATGGTCTTGGTCTACTACTTGAAAGTCGATAATACAATACTATACATACGATACATACATCCATGTACAGGCTATATCTGGAACCCTCATACTTCCCGTCCCTATCTACGAGCTCCAGGGATTTCAAGCAGGCCCGGTGATCATGCAAATGTCAGGGGCAACTGGCGAGTCCTTGTCACCCGTCGGTGATGCGCGAATAAGTAGAATAACACACAAAGAAATCCATGAACGACTTGCTGGTAAGCCAATCGACCTATCATTCTAGCCCAGGCAAAGCACTCACTCATCAAATACATGAAGAACACCATGTACGGGACGTGGTGCCAAGAATCGGGAAACAGAAGGGAGAGCAGCGAAGTGACTGAGAGCAAACCAGAGAACCTTACGGCGAAGCGAGAGTAGGTAGGAGAGTGAGTTGGGAACCTTAGCCTAGCCCCAACAGCCAAGCTGTATGCAAGTAAGCTAGCTATGGCAATCATGGTGGCGGCATGATGAGTTTCAAAAGGAGAAGACGTTAAAGCTTGGAATTTAATCTGAATAAAGGTGAGGAGAATGGGAACTATAAAAGCAAGAACGGCTTGAGTGGAAGTGGAAGTGGAAGCAGGAGCAGGAGCAGGCACTTGTTGGGCAAGATTGATTAGTAGAATGTTGAACGTGACGTAAATAAAGGAATCACGCTCATGTAAAACTATGGATTGCCATTGATAGCGGATATCTGCAGCCATGGCATTAGATTAGAGTGGTTTAAGGGAATATTAATTTGTTTTCTAGGGGAAGATCCCTGCCAAATGAAAGTCCAGGGAATATATAGACCCAAAAGGTTACTCAAAAAAAGTGCTACCACTTTCCACGCTCTTATTAGTCTCTATAATAATGTGATGTTTTATCAACGAGGGAGAAAAGATTTGAACTTAAAAACCTCTTTCGACGTTGGATCTTAACTTCTGTTGCCTTTTTTTTTTCGGATAATCCACTAATAATAGTGAAAGTTTATGCATTAGGGAATTATATTATTATTAAAACCTATCACCCATTAACAATGTTGATTAATAGTATTCTTACAACATATTTTTTAATCGAAAGTTAAAATTCATGGGGACCCATTTCCAGATCTATTTTTGGCCGACCCAATTGTATATGTATTAAGTTTCACCTTTCTCCACTTCCCCATCTCCTCACTTGTTAGTAGAACATATAAGAATACTTTGTAATATATATATGTGACGGCTGCGGCATTTGGGTCTCAGCTTGATACCATTATTTCACAATAAATGGACAAGAAGTAGTCTTTCAGACCAAAGGAATGACCAAGCAATTTCTTCAATCCCAATCCCCCTTCCAAGCAATAAAAAAACCTTTTATTTTCTACATGACCTAACTTGCAGTATCACTAAAACAAACTATGTTCATTATTTAATGATTTTTTTAATGAATAGAGAGCTTCCAAAAAGTACAAGAAGTTTAACAAAATTTACAATAAAAAGATAAAATATGCACCTTATGCAGCCGGGGTTTGTCATGTACTATGCCAGTCAAACGGACGCATGCCGATCCTTCTTTTCTCTCCATTTTCCTCAAATCCCAATTAAGAGAGAGAGAGAGAGAGAGAGGAGAGAGAGAGAGAGAGAGAGGAGAGAGAGAGAGAGAGAGGTAGAAAAACTTCCCTGCAATCGCAACAAAAAATATAGGCACAAATACAAAAGGAGATCAGAAGCTGAGGATTATTATTGGTAGGAAAATTTAAGCAAAATTTTGCTACTTGAAAAAGGTGATCACTTACCAGATCGAGATCCTAGAGCATTACTTAAAGTACAGCCAAAGGATGAATAATGAAAGGGATTTGACAATTGAAGATAAAATAAATAAACAAAAGTACAATTTTTTTTATGAGAATTAATATACAGTATGTATTTTTATTTTCTGGAACATCTATCTCTCTCTCTTCCTCAACTAGTCTCTGCAATACGTCCAACCCCTTCACATATCATTTATCTTAGTAACAAACTTAGTTGTTGTGCTGAAATAAGCGAATCCAAAATCTCCTACAGTCATCCATTTCATCCATTCAAACCGAAGCAAACAAACTCCCATCCCATGCAAATTTTGACCCACAACAAATAAGAGGAACAACAGTGACACTGGAGCCCAGGAAAAAAACCACTAATCAGATGTAGAAGATCAAGATGGTTACAGAGATCTGGGGAGACAGTGATGTACGGAAAGTTAACTTCTAAAAAAATCTATAATTGACTTTAGACACAATCTCAACCGTTGAGCAAAGAAACATGCATCGATATCAGGCCCCAAGGATGAACTGGTGCCGATAAGTTTATTCCGCGGAACCTGAATTAGAATTTAGATTAGTTACGCATCACTATCTGAATCGATTTATTATACTTTTTGTACACTGATAAATTCAGCAGGCCACGTCAAGTCAATTGAGGCAGTCAATCGCCTCATTGTCATTTTGTCACATTCGATATATACTTTACCCGTAACGAAGCGTGATTGAATGAGAACGGTAAAATAGTGCTTTACCGGTGACATGCAAGTCATTCTTCAGGTAGAGACATACAACTGTTGCTGCTGTGTTGTGCTTTCCTTGAAATTTGGAGACTCAAACAGCCAATGGAATCACATGCACACTCTAGTTGGGCTTGAGAAAAGCAAAAGAGATGAAGAAAAGAAGTAGGCATTGCATGTACTACTATAATTTCCTCAAAGTTTTTTTTTCTTTTATTCAACTGATGAGATTTGAATATAACATCCTACAAAGTGAAGGGATATGCCAGAAGAAGAAAGAAAAAAATCACCATATTGGCTAACAATTGATTATTTAATTGAAGCTGGTGCTTATGCGGTCGAATCTAAATACATGTTCTAGCCTTCTTGGTAGAGCAGCTCATTCAAAGCCCCGCACCAGACCAGGCTTCAAGTAGAAAGTCTCAGGCCCTGCTTATCACATAAACAAGCTCATTTGTGGCCCAAAAGAATTGGATCATCTTTAGAGGCCTACTTGAATTTCCGCAGCAAACATTAATTTTTTTTTTTTTTTTACTGCTGCACTGGCCCCTGATATTAATTAAAGAAGAGCATCAACGAGCTTAACTTGATATTTCCTTAATTTTATAAACAATTAACTTTTATCATGACGGAATTGAAGGTGAACAAAGGTAATTAGGAGTACATGCGAGAGTTTGGAGTTTAAAAACTTGTTTGGAAGGACAAAACTGCCCATAATTATAATCCCAAAGGTTTCTTGATCAAGGGGGTACTCTGGTTAGTTTATAAACTCTAAACCATTTGTTTTCTCATCATGTAATTTTATTCAAACAGTGGTTAGACTTCTAAACCACTTTTTTAAATTTATTGTACTCGAACGTTTCAATCAATTTTAATACTCCAGTCTCATTCCAAAACTGGATCAGTTTCACCAGACACGATGGAGCACTAGCTAGGGAAACAAAAACTAAACAAGTTAAATATACATTTAGCCATGAACAAACAGCCAACTTGATTATGAACCAACCAAGGCACTGTGATGTGTGGAAGGTTACCTAGACTCTTTTTTTATTATAAAAGGTTACATATGGGACATCAAATAGTAGAAGATGAAGATCACGAATGGGACATGGTGCCAGGAGTTAGGAACGAGAAGGGTTAGCAAAGATGCAACTGATAGTAAAGCACAAAACATGATGGCCAAGCGAAAGTTGGTGGGAGAGTAAGTAGGGAATCTTAGCCTAGCCGCAACAGCGGAGATGTAGGCAAGTAAGCTTGCAATGGCAACAATGGTGGTGGTACGATGGGTTTCAAATGGAGAAGACAACATTGATATTCCCGGGAACTTGATTTGAATTAGGGCAACAAGTACTGACACTGTAAACGCAAGAATGGAATGGGTGGAAGCAGCAGGCAAATATTGGCTTGCAAGATTGATACGCAGACTAGTATTGAATGTGAAAACAAAGAAATTGTGTACATGTAAGATTATGGTTTGGCGCCTTTGAGAGTGAATATCGGCCATGCTCGGAGAGAGACACCTTTGTTGAAATTAGGTATATTTATAGAAAGAAAAAAAAAAAGTTGCATATTAATATTGTGTGTTTCTTTGGATTCTGAAAGAACTTCAATCTAATGTGCGGACTGATTCTCGTGCAACTAAAATACAAGAAAGGTCCACACCAGTTGGGTAGTACAAGGTCATCATCCGCATTTCTGACAAGTCAATCTAGGGCCTTGTTTTGGTCATGAACAAGTGAAAAAACAAACCAGGACGTGCCAGCTGATCAAGTAAAATGGGCTCCTTTTCGCTTCTTTCTTGGCTTCATTTGGCAGTGGTGTATGAGAATACCCTCGTCCTTTCTAACTTTGGCAAAACAAAAAGACTTTATGTATACAAAAATAATAAAGAAAGAAAAAAGAAATCTTAATAAACAAACACATAATAAAGGTTGAAAGAAAGCTTTTATGCAACCGTGTTATGTTATGTAAGTAAATATTTGATTCAACAACTGTGTTTCATGAGAGGATTTCTTTTAGTAAAATGGAGACCGGATGGATACCAATGAACTTAAAACAAAATAACTTGTTTATCGAGAAGTGAATTGTACTCATCCTCCTTCGTCAGTTTTAGTCATGGTCTAAAATATCGGTAGTCCAAAAACATGGAAATTTCTATGGAAATATTGGGATATTATCGATATCGATAAAAAATTGAATAAAAACCAAGGAAATTGTAAGAAAAACTTGAAAATTTTTATTGAAACTTTGGAGAATGTTTATTTAGTCAATTATTTATTAGTTTATATATAAAAAAATTAGAAGGAAATGCATTACATAATGAAATTAACTGATTTAAGTTGATTATACAGAGAGCTGGCAAACACTGTGAGTGTAGAAAATATATAGTAATTAATGAAAAAAAGATTAAACACACCATAATCATTTATATATAATGATTTACTACAATATTTTACACTTTATACATTGCATGAGAAGATACATGAGTAACTTAGTACCACATAGAGTTCCTATGAGGTTCAAATTTTTCACTATCTTCATCATCTCTATGTGTAGAGTAAGTGTATTGTGAAGAGTATTCATCAAATGATAAATCTCCAAAATAGTTTTGCATGTAATTGTTAACATGCCACCCATATAAATATAAATATTTTAGCATATTATCACTAAAACATAAGTGATATATGGTGGTTAAGGTGTTGGAGGAGTAAAATGGGAGGGGTTCAATCCCCTTTGTGTTTTTTTTTCCTCCATTTTTTTCCTTTTTTTTTCTTCTTCTTTTTCCTTTTTTTTTACATCGATATTTTTGATATTTTAGCGATATTACACCGATATTTTGACAAAATATTGCTGAAGTGTGAGCGAAATTATCAACATCGATATTTTTTGATATTATCGTCGATATTGTCAATATTTATACAATATGTACATGGATATGTTCCGAAATATCCGTGATTCAAAAAAACCGAAATATCCTCGATATTTAGTCAATATTATCGATATTTCATACTATGGTTTTAGTATGTCCTTTAATTTAGGTAGCTTTTGTTTTGACCGTTGGGTTCTTGTAATGATCTCTAGGTTTTCCAGTCTCATCTTGTTGTTTTGTTTGACTTTTATAAAGCCCCGTTATTGATATTAGTCTCTCTGCACTCGCTTTCACGCTTAGGAGAGACTTTTTTATATAAAAAAAATTAAATTTATTTTAGAATTAAAAAAGAAAATAGGTAGTTGTGTTCCATAAAAATAGGATTCATTATCTAATTTTTCTTTTAATTTTAATTTTTTTAATATGAAAAAAATGTGAATTTACCATATTATCCTCATTTAATTAATAATTTTAATTCTTAATGTTTGGATTAATCAAGGGCATTTTCTAGTATTTTGAATATATATATATATATATATAAAGAAAAAAACAGAGAATGGTGAAACATTCAAAATACAAGAAAGTGATTTTGGTTAATTCCAACATTAAGAATTGAAATTATTAATTAAATAAGGATAATATGGTAAATTCACATTTTTTCAAATTAAAAAAATTAAAATTAAAAACAAAATCAGATATTAGATCCTACTTTTACGGAACATAACTACTCATATTATCTTTTCTTAATTCTAAAAATAAAAGAAAAACAGAAAAAAGAAAACCAATTGACACATGCTCACACATATTGTATTTGAGGGACACCCCTTGTAGGCCCCACTCCAGATTGTATTTCACTAATCCAAACTGTCTATTTTGTAGATACTCATTCAAAGATTATCTCTACAAAAAATCACTTGAATCCGATATCATTTGACCACTCAATTGAGTTATTGAAATTTTAGTACTTTCTTGAAACACCGTGTTCATTAATTTTGTAAAACACAATTGGATGTCGAAACGGTTTCAGATTTGTCTAATTTTTTGTAAGGATGATCTGGGAATGAAGACCTAAAAAATAGATGGTTTGGATCATTGGAAAAAAAAATTGTATGGTACCCTAAAGGACGTCCCTCAATAGAAGGGGACTATATATATATATATATATATATATATTACTTGCAAGGGAACAAATTAATTAAAGCAAATTAATTAATAAAAAAATCATTTTATTAAATGGTTTTATAAAATGGTTAATTTAATTTAATTTAATTAATTATTGTTTGCTTAATCTATCATATCTTTGTTCTTTTTTCAGGTTGGAGAGGCTACCACAGTGGAGAGAAGTGCCAGGCACAAGGAGGAGGTTGAAAATTGAGGGGGCTTTGTTTGGGCTTTATATTGCAGTTAATAGGCCTTGTTATAACGTTCAACTAGAAAACACTTATTAGTCAGAGTCGTCCTATAGTGAGGGTGGAAAATGAGAGGGTTGTGGGGGTGAGGATGTCATATATAAATCATAAACTTCACTTAAGTTTAATAAAATGATTATATGACTAATATGAAGATTCACATGAGGAGTTCATATATGACACCCTCGCTATAGAATTTCCCCAATCCCTTTCTTTTATTCTAATTTCTCTCTCCTTGGGAGAATTCGGAGGACAAAAATTGGATCTACTAAAAGCCAATGCGGAGGCCAAAACTATGAAGCACTTGGGATTCTTCACCAAACAATAATATTTACCAAACCCGTCCAGATTCAAGAGAAAAAGTTCAAGCACCCACACGTGCATTATAAAACCTAATACCATGGTTCTTGCTTTTCTGCAGAGCGTCCCGTTTCTTAATTAGCTTTCTTAGCTTGTTGCAATTGAAGCTCACCATCCATGGTGGTCCGTCCAACTTTCATCAAAGAGACAATATGGAAGCACAGGTGACGACACAATGAGGTTTTTTGGTTTTTTGGTTTTTGGTTTTTGGTTTTTTGTTTGTTTGTTGAATTATGTGTATTTACTATTTTGTACCTCTTCTTCCGCCCCTAAATCCCTTGAAGACGAATATATTATATATATACTCTCTATGCCTTTATATAATATGTTCAACTTGTAGACTGTATCATCACCACCGTCTCTATGCTTTTATTTCACTCGAAATGAAAGTCATGTGAAAGTGAAATGGAAGTCTTTATGTAGACTGTATCATCACCAACTTGTAGGCGGATCCACAAGGGGGTCATGGGGGTCAAACGACCCCTTACAGTCATGGAAATTGGCTTCGAGGCTTAGTTTGCTGGAGGTGTGACCCTTGAACTGCCCACCATCTGTTTGATGAAAAGCCTGAGGAGGAGGAGGATGGGAGCTTCCCAGTGCAGAAGAAGAGAAGCTGCGTATGTTATTTTTTAATCACAAATGTTTTCTCTCACAGCAAATATGACAACAATTATTTTCACGGCACAGCAACGCCAAACTTGTGTTGTTTTTGACAGGCATGGGCAGGGAGGATTTGGAAGGTGCTCGTTAAGGAGGTATCAAGCATGGAATGGAAAGGACTTCCATGAGCTGCAATAACAATCTGATAGCCTGACTTCAAATCTGGACGGTCCATTTAATCTTAAAGCATTTCCAAGCACGAGAGAGACATTATTTTTCATGCCACGCATGGGTGGCCTTCCTCACATTGGAAGCAGGTTAGGACGATGCCTAGAGGAAGTTGGGGGAGATGCCGAGCACCGAGACACTGAGACGGACTTTGCTAGGCCAGAAAAATTACAGTGGCCATTTAAGTTGCATGTTTTTCCGTACAATTATTCCTTAGCATCTTCAATGAATGAATCAAGTGTAATTTTCCAAAATAAATAAAGAGGATTGTTTCTATGATCAAAAGAGTTTCATGTGTCCATTTTATTTTCAGAGAATTTTTTTTATTTTCTTGTTGTTTTTTTGGCTTAGGTATAATTTTGTTCCACCTGAAATTTGGTAGGTCGAGACAAAAGTAACAAAATGACTATTATTTTGTCGGGAGCTTCTACAATGAGGAGTTAAAGTGAGGAGGTTATTTGAGGAGACCGATCCGACCGTCAAAACATTTAAAATATTTAAGTCCCATGATTTCTTTACATTTGTTGATGGTGAGATTTAACCTCCTCAAATAACCTCCTCACTTTAAGTCCTCATTATAGCCTTTCCGTATTTTGTCATCCACCAAGTTACTACCGTCTTTACCATTCTTCTTTGTGGCATAACGCGATGGTGACTATGTCTAACTCTTGGCCTTCCCGTCGCTAATTACATATGACTATGTCTAATTCTTGGGCTCCTCCGCCCCTACATGTTTTCATCGGGAAATCCATTGATATATAATTTCTTCAGACTTGACTGTTAAAGGCAAGGCTGGCCTAAGACTTTTGGAGCATGGGACAAAGACAAAACTATAATCTGTCGTACTTCCCTCACAATCTAACCTAGGAAAATATTTTTATCTTCATTTTAGATTATTAAAAGATATTTTACAAATAAAGGATTTTCAAGGATTTGAATTAACTAATTTATTTATTTATTTTATTAGTTTGAATGAATATTCATATGTGCTATAATAAAATAATGCATAAAATTGATCGAAAATAGTTAAGGTAATTCCCAAAAAAATGTTGCCTATAGAGAAATAGAGATGGCAATCGGGGTCACTCGGGGTGGGTATGCATTCGTATTTACTCCGTCAGGTTTATATTATAACTGAGGAAGTAAACAAGAAATAGATAAGAGTAGAGAGAAAATATGGACGCATTTCATTCTATTTTTTATTTTTAAATGATTACTAAACTATTATTCTAGCCTTTTTGAAGAATACTAAAAAACCGCCGTAACCTAACAGAGCTTCAAGTTATGAGCACTTGTATCAAGTTTGATAAGAATACCAACCCCTTCTTACTCAAATGGTAAGGAGTAAGTACTTGAAAGAAAAACAAGTTGCACAGAAATAAAAAAGAAAAAGGAATATATAAGACTGAAGAAACTAATATGAAATATGTAATATATATTAACGAAACCTTCCAACAACATCCAATATGATTATGAGAGTACTTGAAAGAAAACATTGAGCATTTTCAAACACATAAACAGAATCCAACATCAGCTTTCATGGTTGAGAGGTTGAATCCCTCAATTGAAGCTCCATGTATATGTATCACGGACTGCAAATCCATGAATATCAGCAGCTGTCATAGGTAGCAGTGTAGGTGTCCGCGTCATGCGACGCTGACATAGCTTTTGGAGCAAGCCAAAACCCTCGGCCATCAAATAGTAGAAGATGAAGATCACGTATGGGATGTGGTGCCAGGAGTCAGGAACGAGAAGTGACAGCAGAGATGCAACTGAAAGTAAAGCAGAAAATATGATGGCCAAACGAAAGTTGGTGGGAGAGTAAGTAGGGAATCTTAGCCTAGCCGCAACAGCGGAGCAGTAAGCAAGTAAGCTTGCAATGGCAACCATGGTGGTGGTACGATGGGTTTCAAATGGAGAAGACAACATTGATATTCCCGGGAACTTGATTTGAATTAGGGCAACAAGTACTGACACTATAAACGCAAGAATGGAATGGGGGGAAGGAGCAGGCAAATGTTGCCTTGCAAGATTGATAAGCAGAGTATTGAATGAGAAAACAAAGGAATTGTGTACATGTAAGATTATGGCTTGGCTCCTTTGAGAGTAAATATCGGCCATGATCGGAGAGAGAGAGACCTTTGTATGAGGTATGTTTGTTTATTTGGATTGTGAAAGAACTTCATTGTTCATTCTAATGTGCGGACGAATTCGCTTGTCCCACTAAAAGACAAGACCAGATGGATAGTACAAGGTCCATCCGCATTTTCGATAAGTCAATCTAGCGCCTTGTTTTCGGACGTGCGGGGTTTGTCTGACGTGCCAGGTCATCAAGTAAAATGGGCTAGCTTCTTTTCTCCTTCTTGTTTTGTTTGAGGTTCTACTTCCAGACATCCTAATCTGTTATTGATGCTGCTCTCTCAAAATCTACATAGCCTTGGCAAAATTTGAGTTAGGGCCTGTTTGAGAGTGCTTTTGAAAATGCTAAAAGCGTTTTTTGATAACTAAAAACGCTTCTGACAGCGTTTAGCAGAAAAGTTTAGAACCGCTTCTGGATCATAGAACCGCTTCCTGGAGAAACACCTGCTACGTGCTTCTTCAGGAAGCACTCCCAAGTACTTTTCCATGAAGAACTTTAATTTTTTATAAAAATTCTAAATTTTTATAATAAAAGCGTTTTTATTGGAAATACTTATGAGCATAAGTATTTCCTGAAGAAGCAGTCTCAAACGAGCCCTTAATTTTACTCTAGAAATTGCATGCCCCACTAATATTAGTACTACTCTAAAGAATAACAACAAAAATAATTGATTGTGCGTCAAGGTAACTCTCTCTGAATAAATAATAAAAATAATTGAATAACTGGATGAAAAATAGTTTCAGTAATCAAGCAATTGGTCCTCGCGTGGCAGGAAGGAAGACCATTCAAAAAAGAGTGACTAATTTGCAATGCCTTGTATATTAATTGAAATTTTGCGTCTAGTTAAGACCACAGAAAATTCTACTTTAATTTCTTTCTTATTTGGGCCTTGGCCCTCTTATATACCTTGCCAATTTTTTCTCTAGAGGCCCATGTCAGTGATTGCATTGTCCTTCCGTAATCCTCCTTTTGGATAAAGGAATTGAAAATTACATATAATTTTAAAATGACGGAATTTAGATTTCCATCATTTTTATTTTTGGAAATTAAAAATTTCAGTGTTTAAATTTATGTATGTCGAATTTTGTAAATGACACTATGAAAATTGTGAAATGACGCATATTTCGATGGAAATTAAACTTGGGAATTTGATGCTCCAATTTCCATGATTTTTTCCATGCGTTATTTAATAAATTTCACACTTAAGTTGCCAAATAAGGTAATTATTAATTTCTCCTCTTAAATTCCCTATTTTAAATTAAATTCTGAGTTATTATCCCTCATCTAAACGAAGGGTAATGGTAAAAAAAAATAAATAAATATAAAAAAAAAGGTGGCAGGGACTGGGCTATTTTTTTTTTTCAATTCACACGGGTTGGCTTGTATAATTAATTAATTATTTTTTAGGTTAAAATCTCTAATTAAATTTAAATATTTAAATAATTATTTTTTAGTCCAACAGAGCACCAAACATAGGTCTTCACTATTTTTATAATTCAATTTCTTAGTCCGACACAACACCAAACGTAGGTCAGTACTTAATCTAACTTAGTCCAATCCAAGCTAATCCAAGACAGTTAGTCCAATCTATAACAGTCTGCCGTACCAAATAACCCCATATATGGTATGAGGGAAGACAACTTAGAATACAAAAATACAATATTATACATACACACACTTACATGCATATATACATGATCCATGCATCAACTCAAGCTATCTGGAACCCTCATCCTTCCCATCCTTAACCACGAGCTCCAGGGTTTTTAAGCAAATTGAAAATATTGTGAAAGTCAGATTTCAAGCAGGCCATTATCATACAAATGTGAAGGGCAATTGGCGAGCCCTTGTCACCCAAGGGTGATGCTCGAATAAGTAGAATAACACACAAAGAAATCCATGAACGGCTTGCTGGTAAGCCAATCGACCTATCATTCTAACCCATGCAAAGCACTCGATCATCAGATACATGAAGAACACCATGTATGGGACATGGTGCCAAGAATCGGGAAGCAGAAGGGAGAGCAGCGAAGCAACTGAGAGTAAACCAGAGAACCCTACGACGAAGCTAGAATAGGTAGGAGAGTGAGTAGGGAACCTTAGCCTGGCCCCAACAGCCAAGCTGAATGCAAGTAAGCTGGCTATGGCAACCATGGTGGTGGTATGGTGCGTTTCAAAAGGTGAAGACGTTCCTTGGAATTTAATCTGAACAAAGGTGAGGAGAATGGGAACTATAAAAGCAAGAATGGCATGAGTGGAAGCGGAAGTGGAAGTGGAAGCGGGAGCAGGAGCAGGCACTTGTTGGGCAAGATTGATTAGTAGAATGTTGAATGTGACATAAATAAAGGAATCACGCTCATGTAAAACTATGGATTGCCATTGATAGCGGATTTCTGCAGCCATGGGATTGGAGTGGTTTAAAGGAATATTAATTTATCTTCTAGGGGAGACTCCTTCCGAAATGTAAGTCCATGAATTATATAGACCCAAAAAGTTACCTAAAAAAATGTGTTACCTCTTGAAATCCATGACTTCTTTTCAATGATTTATTTATATCACATTTACTGACCACATCTCTAATAAAAATGAGCCTTATCAATATTTGTGAGAGAGGTGATCAGCAATGTCTTTGGTAAATATGTAGAAATCACATCACTTTATTTTTCTTCATCAAATCCACATCAAGTGTCAACCACCAAGTTGATGCATTAGGGAATTATATTATTATTAAAACATGTCACTCATGAACAATTACAATCAATGCTATTTGTAAAACATTTTTTAATCATCAGTTAAATCCATGGGGACCTATTTCCAAATCTATTTTTGGCCAACCCATTTGTATAAATATGTATTAAATTTCACCTTTCCCCACTTCTCTATCTCCTCACTAGTTATTACATTACTTTGTATAATATATCTATGTGAAGACTGCGACATTCACATTTGGCTCACTTCTTTATACCATTTCACAATAAATGGACGAGAAGTAGTCTATCAGTCCAAAGGAATGACCAATCAATTTCTTCAGTCCCAATCCCTTTCAAGCGAATGACATTTTTGTGGCATAAAAGAACCTTTTTTATTTTTAAACATGACCTTAGTGTAGCACTATGCTCATTATTTAATAATTTCCTAATGAACAGAGAGCTTCCAAAAAGAACAAGAAGTTTAACAAAATTTACAGGGAAAAGGTATGTCTTACTTCTGCGGCCGAGGTTTGTCTTGTACTAAGTCAGTCAATCCAGGGAAACGGACTCATCCCGATCCTTCTTTTCTCTCCATTTTCCTCAAATCTCACTTAATTAATATTAGGACAAGCTACAAATCATCCCGCAAATTATGAGGTGATTTTTAAGTTCATACTTACTTTAAAGGACATTTACAATAACATATTCAAACTCGTGGAAAATCTATAATTTACTCACTTCATTAGCGAAACTATTAGTAAATATGTTAACTCTAATTAATACTCGAGCCCATTAACTCCCACGAAGTGCCCTACATAGAGAAGTATAAAAACTTCCCTTCAATCGCAACAAAAAGTGATAGGCACAAATACCTTTCACAAATACGCAAGGTGATCAGAAGCTGAGGATTATTGGTTGGAAAATTTAAGCAAAATTTTGGTAGTGATCGGGTACCATATCACTGAATCGATATTTATTATACTTTTTGTACACCGGATAATAAATCCCAGTAGGCCACGTCAAGTCAATGTGGCAGTCGCTATGGTCATTGTCAATTTATCGCATTCGTTATTATTATTATTTTTATACGGGTCGCATTCGATATATACTTCCTCCACTTTCTCAGCTAATTAATTTGAAAATTTCCACCATATTCAGAAGCTTGGGCCACCAGTACTCCATCCATATAGATATTAGGTCAGGTAGAGGTAAAAAAAGTTTATACCACCGAGATGTTTTGCTACCCTAATCAGTTACTTTTCTCCATACATGATAAAAATTTCATATGGAGAAGCATGATTAGATGAGAATGGAAAAACAGTACTTTTTCCTTAACATGCAAGTCATATTTTTCGCCATACATGACAAGAATTCCACGTAACAAAATCTAATTGGATGAGAATGACAAAACAATACTTTTCCCATGCAAGTCATTCCCTAGGTAGAGACATACAACTGTTGCTACTGTTGTGCTTTCCTTCAAATTTGGAGACTCAAACAGCCAATAGAATCACAAGCACACTCTAGTTGGGCTTGAGAAAATCAAAAGAGATGGAGAAAAGAAGTAGGCACTAAAGGGCATGTAAGTTGTGCTTAGAATTTCCAATATTAAGAAAAGAGTTTTTTTTTTTTTTTTCTTCTTTAACAGTACTCAGTTTATGAGATTTGAGTATATAACATCCAACAAAGTGGGGATATGCCAGAAGAAGAAGAAAAAAAACACCATATTGGCTAACGATTGATTATTTAATTGAAGCTGGTGCTTATGGGGTCGAATGCCTTCTACGTTGAGCAGCTCAGTCAAAACCTCGAATACCTTCTGAAAAATTCTAACCATATTCCGAAACTTGGGCCACCAGTACTCCATATAGATATTAGGTCAGGTAGAGATTAAAAATTTTATGCCACCGAGATAACACTATTTTGCTCTCTCTAATAAATAACTTTTCGTCGTATATTATAAGAATTTCACATAGCAAAGCATGATCGGATAAAGATGGCAAAACAGTACTTTTCCGTGACATGCAAGTCATTCTCCAAGTAGAGGCATACAACTGTTGCTGCCCAAAACAAGTTCATTTGTGGCCCAAAAGAATTGGATCATCTTTAGAGGCCTACTTGAATTCCTGTATCATGCGCAAACATTAAACTTATTCTGCTGCCCTGGCCCCTGATGTTAATTAAAGAAGAGAATCAATGAGCTTAACTTGCGAGAGTTTGGAGGTTAAAAACTTGTTTGGTAGGACAAAACTGCCCATAATTATAATACCAGAGGTTTCTTGATCATGGGGGTATTCTGGTTAGTTTATTTATAAACTCTAAACCGTTTGTTTTCTCATCATGTAACTTTATTCAAATAGTGGTTGGACTTTTAAACGTATTCTGTAAGAATCTCTATAGAGCACTCATTTGTCTTACTCCATTCTAAGGATTTTGTGAAAAAGGATGTGTTCATGCTTTGTGTTAGTTTATAGACTATATTCATGTTAATTATATATAAGATAAATGTATAAATAAATTTAAAATAACACAAAAGCATACCCATGAATGAACCAGCCATTCCTAATGTGATCGGTGGGAGTACTAGAAAAGAAACTAATGCGTCCACCCCTTCCACTCGAGTTCGACTGACCACCAATGATTATATTTGGTCTTAAGTGACACTTAAATCTCATAAACGATAATTATTGAGTAAAAAGTTAATGAAAGCAAAAGTCATCTTCTCTTAAGTTAATTTGTGTGGTGAGCAATGCTAGTACTATTAATTATCCAAAGGTATACGTGAGAAATTTTTTATCCTTAAATTATGATATAGTCCTTTGAAATTAAATGCTAATTACAATTCAGTCAGAGATTGGACGAAATTAACAAAGCGCTTTATAGTACATCATTTTTTTTTCCAATTCATTCTAACAAACAATAGGATATATTTATAAATATACTTTTATAAGGGGTCAACAGACACGATGGAGCACTAGCTAGGGAAACAAAAACTAAACAAGTTAAATATAACATTTAGTCATGAACAAACAGCCAAATTGATTATGAACCAACCAAGGCACTGTGATGTGTGGAAGGTTACCTTGACTCTCTTTTTTTTATCATAAAAGGTTACCTTCTGACTTTCATATAAAAAATAATATACTTGAGCTAAGCTGTTATTAGATTGATTTCATGTATATATATATATATATATCCATGAACTAATTAAGCTAGTTTTGAACGTGACGCAAATCCCTGAATGTTAACGGCAACAGCGTGCGCGTTGACCGACGTTGACGCGCCCCAAAGACACAAAGAAATCCATTCTCCACTCGTTGGTAAGCCACCTGACATAGCATTCTCAGCAAACCAAGACAACATGCGTACTCGCCCATGAAATACAAGATGAAAATCAAGAACGGGACAGGGTGCCAATAGCCTGGAAGCAAAACTGAGAGCAGTGAGGCGACTGAGAGCAGACCAAAAAACCTCATGGCGAAGCGAGAGTAGGTACGAGCGTAAGTAGGGAATCTTAGCCTAGCCCCAACAGCCAAGCAATAAGCAATTAAGCTGGCTATGGAAACTAGGATTAGGGTTGGATGGGTTTCAAATGGAGAAGCTGACATTATTGATCCTGGGAATTTGATTTCAACAAAGGTGAGGAGAATGGGAACGATAAAAGCAAGAATGGCATGAGTGGAAGTGGAAGTGGAAGCAACTTGTTTGGCAAGATTGATTAGGAGAATATTAAACGTGATTTTAAAGGTATTGTGTTCATGCAAGATTATTATGGATTGGCGCCATTGATCGTGAAGATCGGCCATGGTGTAATAAAACTAGCTGTATCATAGAAGCCGAAGTCTAGGTCTCTAATATTTATAGATCCACACCTGGTGAATGAGGAATTTTTTAGCGGGTGTACTAGCTAAAGTTATTAGCTTAAAATCTTCTTCTTTTTTTTTTTTTTTTTTCTTTTTTTTTTTTTTTTTTTTTTTTTTTATAATTTCTATAATTTTTTCTTAGAAATAAAAGTGTACGTTAAATTATATAAACCACGTTAGTTGTAAATATAAGAGAAAAAAAAATTATAGTCATATAATAATTCACGAAAGGGTGAATTTCATTTAGAAAAATATTTCTCTTTTTCGAAGACAAATTAATGACAAAGGTTAAAATTTGAAAGTTAGAGCTAAGGACTTTACCTTTACTATGCGTAGATAATCTTTGACACAAAATACAAATGCGGAAGACCTCTGCATATTGGTGTTGTAAGGTATGAAATTACATATTTTTATTTATTTTTATGTTAAAATACTGGGTTATATAGGTTTATTTTTATTTTTATTTACCTCAAATCTTCACTGGCCCACAGCACATGGCAGCCCACTATTCAATCAACAAAAGATATTGTACTGCAGGTTGATGTCGACTGTGACGGACCAAATTTTTCATCGCAGTGCAAAATCTATGCATACGTTGACAAGAAAGTCACATTCAATTTCCTTATCCCGAAAAAAAAAAAAGTCACATTCAATTTGGTTGAGATAAACGAATAAACGGACCAGACATATTTGATGCCAAAATAAGACAAGCCATTTACATTGCCAACAGGAAAGAAGAAAAAAACCAAACCAAACTTATATATCATATATTCATATTATTACGTTAATTTAGATTTTCCAATATGTTATTATTTAGTATTATTATGTTAATTAATGTATCATGCGCCACAACATGGTAAGACTTCCAAATTGTATTTTTGTCATTTCGAGGAACAAAACATACATCGATGTCAGCCGACTCAGGATCCATGGAATAATTTGGAGAGATAAGAGATAATTAATCATGGCTTAGAGCTTTAGCAGTTGTTATTATGGATCACTTTATGAATCGATCATTACATTATTTGCGTTGGGTTGGACACTTTTAAAAGTTAAATTATTCGTTAATCTAGCTTATACAAGTCAAGCTGATGAGACACTTGTCTCATTTCACTATTAGTGTCACCTAAACCTTACGCTATCATGGTCGTTGACTCATTGTCAATTTGTCACATTATAAATTTTCCACCACTTTCTGAGTCACGCTTCAAAACTTGCTCTACTTTCTCTCCATAGAAAGAGATTCGAAGTAATAAGGCCCCGTTTGGTTCACATAACGGATTTAAGGAGAAATTATTTCCTATGTCATTTCTCAAGCGATGTGAAATGGAAGATTCATTTCCCACTTTTGGCAATGCTGGGAAAGTAATCCTGAGATTTCACTTTATTTCCTTGCCCATGTTTGTTTTGAGTAGGAATGGAAAACAAAGTTTGTATAATTTCCAATTATACCCATATTAAATAATAATAATAATAAAAATGCGTTTAATGATACATTGTAATTCTAAATTGTTAATGAAGATAAAATGGTTATGAAAAATATGCATTAAATGTTGACTCATTTTCCCAAACTTTCCCATAACGAATGAAAACAAAATTCAAGTTGAGTGTATAGAAAACAAATGGTGGTTATGATTCAATTCAACAGAAAGCCTTTTGTTTTTTATATATAAAGATTAAAGGGTAATACTCCATTAAAGATTTTATGTTAAGGATATTTTTAATCTCAGTCATTGGATGCATGTAAAGAAAATATGTAACTCACTAATACATCTATTAGAGCATCCACAGTGAGGAGGGGTAGGGGGGGTGTGTGTGTGTATTTTCGGGGGTGTAAAGCTACTTTTACATCCCCTTTATACCTCTAAGGGATGGAAATACGTTTTTTGCTTCAATGGGAAACAATGTAAATTTAATATGTATAATTTTTCCTCTTTTTTCTCGAGTGGGTCCCGCCTGCAAAAGATGTAAAAATATATGCAAATGTGCATTTTATTTTACATCTCCATTGTGGTGATGTATGTTTACAACCCTTTACATCTCCCCATTGAAGATGATTCCGGTGACAATGGGTGTATATTTAACATACACCCCTTTATACAACCTCCCATTGTAGATGCTCTTAGATGACTAAAAAAAACTATTAGAAATCCTCAACCAATCCTCAACAAAAAAATCCTTACCACGGAAGCTCCCAATATTTGATTATTATAAGTTAAATACACACACATGTTATTGACGTGCTTCCAGCAATATTTAGAGGAAAATACTTCTTTTATTCCCCTATAAGTAGGAACTTACATTCCTGCCAAGTATGACATGCGTGTAGAACTTCTTTTTGTGTTTTGATGAATTATTTTTAACATGTGTCAAACCATAATTTGCAAGAATGGGGAGTATCCATATTTAGAGGAATATTGAGAGGCAAGCAGTAACCATATTTAAAGGCCATAATCAACAATTAAATCACATGCATACAAATTACCTCTGAAAAACCAAGGGAAGCTAAAAAGAAAAGGGATTTGAGGTTACATTCAGAGGCATTGAAGATTGCGTCATAAGTAATCAAATGTTCAACTTCACAATATTGTATTTTCTTTTCCTGTTAATAATGTAATGAGAAAGGAAAAATGGGATTAGAAGGAACAGCAAGTGAAAACTATTATACATTTACCGCCACTCATTGACACTAATGACCAGAGGGGTGCATTTTTTTTTACATACAAAAAGAACTCACATACAGATTACAACTATGTGCACCTTCATCGCAAGAATTAAAAATTAGAGGGAAAGAAAAAAGAATAATCAAATTAATGAACTTCTACTTCCAAAACATCCTAATTAATCCGTGAAATCAATTTGATTATTAAATCCTTGTAACCATTGTTGCGTTTGAATTATCTGTGCCTTCTGGTGGGGGCTTTACATACTTGCCAATTGCTTTCTGGTGAGTCCGCTTCCTTATCCTTTCTATTTTTTCCTTACTCTTCTGCTTCCTCTTCTCTTTCTGCTTATGCCGTAAATTTCTCTCTTTTTCGTATACACCTTGCCAGAAGACCTCACCTGTTGACGGCCACAACCACCGCCTCCTGGGGTGCTCCAAATCTGATTCTTCTGCCAAGTCCTCATCCATGCTCTTTAGGGTGGAGTATGAGAACCATTTGATCCACATATGACCTCTCCGACTCTTGAACCTATGTTGTTCCTGCATCACACCAGTCTCAGGTTGCACGTATACCATCCTCCTCGCGCTGTGGTATGCCCAAACATTTACAAGCAACTCAAGAAGCCGTGAGTAGCAATGTTTGTCCTACAATTTGCAAATACACTCAGTAAGTACAACAAAGTAAAGCAATATTTATCAGTAGAAGAAAACTCATAAAAGCAGAAGCAAATTACTTTTGACAAACTCAGATAACAGCGTCCACTTGAATGGTGTTCATCATACATTTGTGCATCCAAAGCATCCACAAACATTCTGCACACCGAACAGTTCATATTAACAGTTAAAGAATTCACTTTCTAAGTAGATAAGTAAGAGCATCTCTGTAAAGATGCCCACAAGTGCAAAATCTCCTACCTGGAAAACATTACAAACTCTAGGAAGGACTTCGTTGGCAAAGCCCAGCTATGCATGACAGACCACGTGTCCCCATCCACAGGCATGGGCGGTAAAGATTCTATATTGTACTTTAAACTATACATCCTTTTAAAAGCCTCCGAAAAAGCAAACCTTCAATTTATCATGTGGAGAGATTAGGTGAAAGATTCTTCAACAGACATTAAGGGAGGGAGAGAGAGAGAGAGAGAGTTATGAGCAAAATTTATAACAAGAATCAACTAAAGGATCACCAGTCTTACGTGCAGTTTCCAGCATTTATACCATCACAGAATGACCAAAAATCTTGTCTCAGATCATTCCGTGGATCATCATCCATACGCACCCAAAAGTACAGTGCATCCCCATGCCTTCGTGTTTGAATAGCATCTAACAATGCATTTTCAGCTATTCCAGATAAAGATGCCTGTTCCAATCACAATCCCCCATATTAGATATAAAGGATCCTATATAAAAGAAAATGCAGAAAGAGGAAAATAACTCATTGCTTTGTTTAAACATTTTTCCACTCTGTTTCGAATTTGGAGACTGAGCTCTAAGAATACCCGCAAAAGTGGAGATACCAGACACAACCATTCAGTCCACTTGGTACAAAGTTCTCTTTTATCCAAACTTTGAGAAGGTTTATTATACAATTTATTTGTTGTCACTTTTTTTCTTTGGTATTTTATTTTAAAAGCAAAAATTTAAAAAAAACTAAAATGGAATCACGTTCTATTAGGTATTATTACTTGATCCATGATGACGGCACCATGAAACCTAGAGTTTTACTGGTTGCCAGGCCAACTGAAATAGACCAAAAGCTGCCTTCCAACATGCCATGAATATAAAACTGATAATGCCCAATATCCCAACAAGACCCAAGAGGACAAAACAAAGATGCAGAATGAGCACTGGTAGGCGCTCAAAAGTTCGTTGAAATCATGTGTACAAATGTAAGGCAAAATTAATAAACTTCAGGGAGATGTGGAGACAGAAACAGAGAGACAGAGACGGAGAAGACAGAGAGACAGAGAGATCCAATACCTTCCTTGCTGTTATTCTCCATGACTGAAACCCTATCCAAGCATTTTTATGTATACGATCAATCCGGTTTGCAATGGCAAAGAAGGCTCCATATTCACCAAGTAGATCTCGATAATAAGGGTTATTAAGAAGTGGAAGACGAGAAGGTGCATCAACATCATCGGTCCTAGGTCTTCGACCTTTAGTGGACTACAAGAATTTATTTTATGCAATAGTCAGAGAGAAATTCAAAGGCGTCTCTACTATATTGACAACAATGACGAGACAAATAGGAGATTTAAAGCCTCAGCTAACAAGA